ATCGTTGAGTTATTTCTTTAATTATAGGAAACAGCAGTCAGTGAACACAACTCAACATGCTGTATAGTTCAAACATTAATGTGAAATGCAGAAAGCAGATGAACTTTTGTGATAAATTTTTCATTTGATATGTATGCAGATGTATCTTATACTACGTCTGTGAAGGTTCTTAGTCATCCAGGTCATCGTAGTCAAAGGAGCTTGCAAAGAAAAGCGTCTGGACTTCTTTAAGTTACTTGAAGACGTTTCACCTCTCATCCGAGAAGCTTCTTCAGTTCTAAGGTCAAATGGTGGAGAGTCCCAGATATAAACCTAGTGGGAGTTCCCCCCACAGAGGGACAAAAGGACCCCCTGATGATCCTCTAATCGCCTGAGCCAAGGTGTGAAACTGGGTGTGGGTCCCAATCAGCCAGAGTTTCGGGTGAGTTCATTGTGAAACCTGGCCCCACCTTATCATGCGAATTCCTGAGGTCAGATGGCCCAGGATGTGAGTGGGCGTTAAGGCGTCTGGAGTCAAGTGGACTCTCAGACCTCTACATTGGAGAGACCAAACAGCCACTTCACAAGCGCATGGCACAACATAGAAGAGCCACCTCCACAGGACAAGACTCAGCAGTCCATCTGCATCTTAAGGATAAAGGTCACTCTTTCGAGGATGCCAATGTTCACATTTTGGACAGAGAGGACAGATGGTTTGAAAGAGGAGTGAAAGAAGCCATCTATGTCCACTGTGAGCGACCATCTTTGAACAGAGGCGGTGGTTTACGACACCAACTGCTCTGCCATCTATAATCCAGTTTTGAGTCCCTCCCCAGACGCCTTAAACTGTTAGCAGTCACACCGCCATCTATAACAGTTTTGGATCCTCCAACGCTTGGATGTTGGCTAATAACTGCTGGAAGCCCACTCACATCCTGGGCCATCTGACCTCAGGAATTCGCATGATAAGGTGGGGCCAGGTTTCACAATGAGCTCACCCGAAACTCTGGCTGATTGGGACCCACACCCAGTTTCACACCTTGGCTCAGGCGATTAGAGGATCATCAGGGGGTCCTTTTGTCCCTCTGTGGGGGGATACTCCCACTAGGTTTATATCTGGGACTCTCCACCATTTGACCTTAGAACTGAAGAAGCTTCTCGGATGAGAGGTGAAACGTCTTCAAGTAACTTAAAGAAGTCCAGATGCTTTTCTTTGCAAGCTCCTTTGACTATCTTTAAAAAATTAATACTACAAAATCCAGAGAAAAATCTCATCGTTGCTGATTTCCAAAGCACACTGCAAATATGCTTCCAAAACCAGATGCTGCTTTTAGTTTAATTTACAGCGCTGAGCAAAAGTCATGAACTGCTCCGGAAAATCTTTCAAGTTTTTTGAACTTTTTTATTTGGACACTTCATCTGATCAATCTAATGCTTGGCCTAAGATGACTCCGCTATTATAAATATGCTAAAGGCATGCTAAATTACACGAGAACTGAAAACCAGTGACAACAGGTCTCATGGAATGATGCATCTGAATGAGAAATTTATTCTTCAAATTATTCTCAATGTGTACAGAGCAGGTCAGGAGATCCATTATGGTTTGAGGCTGCATTCAAGCCTCAAGTGTTCAGGATCTTGTCAAAACTGATAAAATTACAAAAGCAGAAAAGTACCATCAGATATTGATCCACCATGCAGTAGCATCTGGAAAGCCTCTGATTGGTGATGGCTTTATTTTTCAGCATGGCCAAGATCCCAAACACACTGCCAATTGAGTATAAGCATGTCTGGCTAGAAAAACACCCAGTGGAACACGAACAGTCATGGACTGACCTCCCCAGACCCCAGACCTCATTATTGAACATTATCAATATTATTGAAGCAGTAAGGGATCATCATGAGAGGGATTGGAACAAAAGGCAGCTAAAATCCAAATCCATTCATGAATACTTCTTACAAAAACTACAAGAAATCTTGCCTGAGAAAGTTCAGGCTATGTTGAAGAAGAAAGGTGGTTATACCAAATATAGACTTTAAAGCTTCTTATAATTGTGAAAACTCTGTTTTTTCCATATATACAGTATTTCCATGTATTCATTTACATGTAAAGGAACAAGACAGTAAAAACCATTATTTGATTATTAGTTATTCTACAAGACAATATAAACTGAGTCTGCATTTACCTTTAAACTACTGATATATATTCAAAAAACTTAAATCATATCACATGCACATCTGAGCTCAGTGGGTGCTCTATTCCCACCTGTGCTCGACTCAAGCTTTGCTTTCTTACACATGACTCTAATGACAGCTGTAAGGGTGAGTCAATATGCATTAGCACACGACAGAACTGCAAATTGGTTTGTGTTACACAGAACCATTAAAGCAAAAATAAAAATGTGAGAAAATCTTTAGATGACCTCAGAACGTCTTGACAACACAAAATAGAAGCCAGGATGGCTTACCTACTCGATCACAGCTGATCGTATTTTTCGTGTGATTTTATCAGCTATTAATCAATAATACTACAAATCAGTTTCAGATATCAAACTGTTCCTCCTTGGGTTTATTTAGTTTTTTTTCTTTTTAGAAAATCAATAGAACAAAAAGTCAATATTCTGAAATCCGTCTACCAGCTACTATCTGTAAGGAAAATAAAGTATCTCGCTTCTTTCTATCTTACCGCTAAAGTACTCGATAACGACAAAATATCAACACATTGTTTCCATCCCTTGTTATCTCACATACTAGTTATAAAAATATCTAGTTGGAGGATCATGGAAACTCTGTCTGCTGCTTCTTTCGCTCTATCTTTCTCACACTCAACTCCTTCTCTTTCTCCATCCTTCCAGCACCATGCCTCCTCCCGTAGTGTCACAGTCCATATGGTGCTGCAACACTGTTGGTCTCCTGTGGCCACACTTCCCACGATGCATCTGCGGCTCTGGGCTTTCGAGGGAGCCGATAGGCTGAGAGGACTTTGGTATCGACCAGCTATTGCCTGGTGTGAGGTCAGCTCAGTGCAGCATTGGAGTGTGTCCGAATCTACACACACCACTGCTTCCAGTCTTTCATCCATTCTGCCAATCAATCCTCCATTTTCTGCTGTTACCTTTGCCTCAGAAGAAGTATGTTCTTCTGTTGTATTCCTTTCTTCCAAAACCTTTCTCCCCTGTGAGTGTGCCATTGCACATTTTCTTCTTTAAACTACTGCCCAATTGATCCATTTCTCAAATTTCTTGAGACCACATGCAGTTAGAAGCTGCTACTGTAGCTTTACACCTTTTCTTTAAAGCTTTAATGACGATATTCTATTTGCAAAAAGCCACCAAGGATTCTTCAACATACTATACACATTTATTTATGCATTTGTTTGACAGAGGTGGGGGGTATTTTGTTTTTTATCTATCGTAGGCATTGTAGTGTTGTATTACTCTGAGCTGGCTTCCTCCTCTGTCTGTGTCCATGCAGAGAAAACAGAGCTTAGTAGAGATCAATCCCATTGAGTCTGACTCCTTTCACTAGCCAAGGATCAATACTGCCTGTTTCATGTCCCCCTGCAATACACGTACACACGCACACACAAATCCACACATACACACACAGTTTAAAGACATGGGCTACGAAGGCTGACCCACCCCTTTAAAAATGACCTATCGGCCTATCGGCTAGCTTGCTCACCGGGGGATACAGAAGTTCATTATGACAGCCTTGCCAGTGTTAAAGGTCTGCTTTGGTCCTCCTCCGCAAAGTGCAGGATCTGATTACATTAACAGCTTGCTAACAGAAGCAAAAAACGCATAGTGGCTAAAAGTAACGTACAGCTGGAAGCCTTTTTCACATGCAACAACGTGGCCGTTCACAATGTGATAGAATTTTTTTTTACGTAATGCTGGATCACAGAAAAGGAGTGGAAAGGCTTTTGAAATCTATGACTGCGCTAGGTTCACCCACCTGTGCTGGACAGAACAATACTGGAGTTACGCAGGCATCAGAAATAATTGTTCAGATTTTGACAGGGAAATGTTACCCCCAAGAGCTTTGAGTTTCGCTTTTTAATCTCAATTAGTAGTCGTCATCTCCTATTACCCTGGATGCATATTGCCTGCAAAAAAAACCCAAACTCTCTTTTATGCTTAATACAAAGCTGTATTTTATGCAGGTAAATTATGCATAATGCAAATTATTATTCCAAAAAATCATATGACACTTTGGGAAATGTGTTATTGCTCTTTTGCTGAATGAATCTGAACCTTTGCTTCATTGCCCTAAAATATTTAAGGCAACGAAGGTACAAATAGAAAAACAAAGAGATGCTATATCACAGAAATGTCAAACTCATTTTACATCATGGGCTACATACGACTTTGATGTTAAGTAGGCCGGACCAGTGACCATTATAAATGTGTAAAATTACAGAAAAAGTTCTGGTAGTTCATCATTCCTTGCCTACTGAGCTACCAGAACTGCAATAAAATATACATTTTTAATAAATTCACAGTCAATGCCCCTTTTAGTAGAAAGTAGAAAAACAAGAACTTTTCTGTCATTTAATCTGTTACTTGATTACTTTAGTGTAGTATGAATGGCAATTGAGGAGGGTCCTTTATTGAGTGGAAAAGCTGTAAACCAGTGGGCCTGATTGGAGTCTTTGTGAGGCCGATTCTGGTCCCGGGCCTTATGTTTGACAGCCCTGCTATAGCTGTTTATTGTGTTGCATTTGCTCAGTGTATATGCAATGTGCAAAAATAAGACATAATTCAATACACCTTCTTAGCCAACAGCATGTTATTTTTATATCATTATTTTTATCTGAATACATAAATAAGCCTCTTAGGTCTCGTTAGGTGGATTTCTAACCTTTGGGCAAATAAGCAAAAAAGCAAATAAGTGTGTTTCCCAAAACAGATGTCCTTTGAGGTCATAAAGGTACATGATTTTCTCAGTAATGTCTTGAGTCCAGCATAGAGTGGGTGCATAAATATATATATGTACAGGGGATTTTAGGGCAAACTGACCTTGCCTAGAATACTCATCAGCTTCATGGTGAACCAGGTCCGTCACACACCCGCCGTAGTGCAGCCTCTGCTCATGGTCGAAGGCCTTGAGCGTTTCACTCGAGCTGTAGGACTTCTGGGTAGGCACACGACACTCATCGGCGTCCAGGGAGGAGGTGTTATACTGGGAGTCTTTGGAGCAGCGGCCCCTGGTCAGTGAGCGATTTCTGCGGTCCTTCAGATCCATGCTGATGTTGTGTGGGGGGGTTGAATGCAGCGAGAAGAAGACAGAGTAGACGGAGGAGAAGGCAGTGACGGGAGAGGAAGGGCTCTCCTAAGGGCCTCCCTAATGTCAGTCTCCACTTCAGTCACCTGGAAAACAGAGACAGGAAGAGGAAGAGATGGAGAGATGGGAAAAGACAGAGACAGGTCTAAAATTAATGGATGCACTGCTGTGACTCACTCTCGCCTCGCACTCCCAGCAGAATATACAGACAAAGTAAGACAGGAGCAAACAGCGTGAGTGGACATGAGTAGCCAGGCAAATATAAAACACATTAGAGTATTGATGCAGGATAAGTAAGGCTATTGTAGGTACCATTAGGATTTCCACAGATTAACTTGTTAATTTGTGTGATTAAGGTGAACTAAAAAGGAAAGAGTCACACCGCTCCTCCAGTCACTTACTGCAACTGTAACTTGATAGCAGGGCAATAAAACCCCCAAGTCCCCATTGTTTCTCTTCCTTTCTACTTTTACTCTCTGACCCCTCTCATGTCTTTGATGGTTCTCTTTTAATTAGTAACAGCAGCCACAACACAAAGTCTTCCAGCAAACTTTACCGAGCAAGCAACAAGAGCAGCAAGGCAAGTTCTCAACTCCGCAAGGAACACACACACACACGAAACCACAACTCTTCTGAGCCTGGCTCATCATAACCAGACCAAGGGAGCACTGCCAGCTCGTGGAGCTGCGCACCAAGGACTTTCCTTCTCTTTCATGCACTAGTAATTTCCCATACACAGGTATCCCAGTGAAATTGTGCACAGCTAAGCTTTGCTTTTATTAATGTACATAAACTGGTTTTGTTCACTGAGATGTATTATTATGTATCCTACAGTCAAAGCTCGCATTTCAGATTTTGTTTTGTTTTCATCTAAAACGTGTTCACGTGGTGCACATTGAACATATGGAGGCATATCACATAATCTTCCTGGTGCATGCTCGCCCTCCCTCACATACACAAAGCTCCCTTTTAGTTCTTTAGGTGGGTACATTTAGTAAAACTGTATATTACCTTTATAAATACACACTAATTCCTTTATTACTGCACAGGAGTGAATGCTGCCAACCTCTGCTATTAAAAACTCCCAAGTCCTTAAATATATAGTTTATTGCACTTTAGGAAAGCGATGAATCAGACGATATAAATTTCCAGTCTTTTTTATTAAACTTAAATATTAACTGAATGAAAAAATGTGCAATCCATCACTAAAGAGAATTATTTGGTGCAGATGTTTTCCTTCAGTCTAAGGTGGCTCCTCTAATTTGCTTCCCTTCCTTTTTTCAGAGCATCCCTGTTGCGCTTACGCTTTGCAGGGCGAAACAGAGCTGTTAGCACTGTGGTCCACAGAGACAGTCAGCCATTGACCGCGCTGTTGAAAAATGGTCAGACGGCATTTAAATCTATTAGAACAGAGAGGGACTCAAATGCGGTCATCCTAAACCAATGCTGGCGGAGGTATGCACACAACGAAAGTGGACAAGTGCAGGTGCATTATCGAGACTAAAAAGAAATAATAATAAAAGAAGATGCAAAAGGCAAGAAAGAAAGAAAGAAAAGCAACAGGAAGGATGGAAGAAGAGGAGAAATGACTTGAGGGCATTGCTAGTCTCTCCCTCATTATCAGAGTGGGAATGAATCCGGCTCCCTTAGAGGCTTTGAGGGATAATCAAACACACCCAAACACAGATACACGCAAACAGAACATCGCTAACACACATATTCAGTCCAGCGATACCTGAGACAACAGAGTCTCCTAAACTTGACATAAACTGTAAAACAGCCTGTAAGGCAACTAAACATTTGTATTATGACACTGCGTCTATGATACGATAATGACGCTAATAAAGCTTGATGCAAGTTTTGCAGCCTTGAGGAATGCATTACGCTGGCGTCCAAGGATCAAAGTACAATGATATGACAACAACCAAACAGCCAGCTGTAATTGACAGGCACCCTTCCTCCAGCTATAGCTACTATGGGATATTTATGGTAATGAACCCATGGTTCCATTACTTGAGGCTGAAAAAAGTCCGATCCACCCACAGAATTACAGCGTTGCATTGCATTTGCACCAAAAATACTGTTCAGTCTTAATAGTTTTTATCAATATGAGAGCAGACAAGGGCATCTCTAAAGGACAGGCATCATTTCTTTTTTGAATATGTGATGTAATTAATTACATGCAGGAGCAGAGGAAGAATTAGAAGAGAGAGGAGAAGGAGAGACAAGTATACAGAATGTGAGTCAATCTATTCAATGAGGGCTCATTTTAAAATGCTTAGAAGGTAGTATTGAAAAGTGCCCTGCTATGTCCATTGATTAACAGTAGGTATTAAGTCTCATAAAGAGCTCATTATGCTTGGGCATCCATCACACAGGCTATTAGGAGTTCGACCTTAATGTGTTTGTACCTTGAATGGAGGGCGAGGAAATAGAGAGCGATACTGGCTCAGAAAATGTGGGGACATTCAGACTGGGGTTAAAGAAATAATGGCCAAACGAGTCTCCGTGTGGAGCTGTGGGTGTGCACAGGTGGGTGACAAATTAAAGGAAAAAACAAAACCAGAAAGTACCCCATTGATCTTTACAGTGAAGAGCTCTTGTGTATGCTCCTGGGCATTCTGCTGGAATGGTTTATGTCTACTTGACAGACGTGTGACCACAAACGAATACAGCGGTACTCTGTGCGATCAGATTTATCCCACCCCTTCACATTTCTATCCTCACGGGAGTGGTCTCTTCCAGGGTGACAATGCCACCATCTATAGGGCATGACGGGTCACTGAATGGTTTGAAATGTATAAAACGGATGTGAATCATATGCCATGGCCTTTGCAGTCGCACAGCTCTAAACTTGATCGAGTATGGTAGATTCCGGACTGACAGCTCTGTCTGCTGCCATCGTTAAAAATGTCAAATGAGGGAATATCTGTGGTGTACTGTAGAGTTTCTGAGCCAGTGCAATGGCACATTAAAGCTGGTCTACCAGCATAAACTGAGCCAAAAATATAGGCAAAAGTTGGTCACTTTACATCAGATGAAAACTTGGATGTCAAATTGGCTGAGAAAACAGAATTACACTAATGATGCAGACTGTACTGTCTGTACAGTTGAGCTTCACTGTACAGAATAAACTGCGAATATGAACACTCATCTGTCGTAAGTGGAAAATTTCCCTTTAGTCATCCAAAGGTCTAAGCTTTAGGCGTGAGCCTTACACACTGAGTTGTGATGTCATAAACTGGATTTTGTGATTTTACTTTTTAATGGAAAAAAATAGTAGAAGCAGAAGAGAAGACACACAATAGCGGGCTGATGGATAGACTGGAGGAAGCTAAGGGAAACAACCTTGAGATCTGGAACACATTATCAATCACATCCCATCCAGCCAGGTGTTTCCTCAAGGTCACTGAAGCACATACAGGCAAACTTTTCTTAGTTAATTACTCCAGCGACAACAGTCCAACCCCCCAGATCGTCACAACGAGGCAGATCATCTCATTTATCAGAAGTACAATGACTTACTGTCATTCTGACTGTTTGCATACCACAACTCCATGGTACGCTAGCACGTAGGTGCATGCATATTTATGTGCAGACACCCACACAGACTCAGCAGACAGACAAACACACGCATAAATGCAAAACTATAGAAAGACGTGCGCGAGCCTGCAAAACAGCCGCGTCTCCTTGACAGGCAAGAAAGCGTGGTTAGATGAAGGAGAAAAGAGACATGCATGCAACCGTGAAGTGACCATGAAATCCAGGCAGAATGAGAAATGTAATTGGAAGATGACAGGGAGGGCGGGGAATTCATTTTGGAAATTACAGAGGTGAAGTTTGGTGCAGATAATGGCCTTTTCTCTGCAAATAACAGCTTTGAAGGGGGAAAAAAAGAAATATGGAGCGTACAATGTAAATCCACTGTAACTAGAAATCACACCCAGTTAATAGGATGTTAATGACATCAGCGGATTAGCAAGTATCAAACAAGACGGTTTTGTGTTCAACCTTAACAACCCCCTAAAGAACAAAAAACCAAATATCAAGGAAAGCAAAGTAACAGACAATGAAGATTCAGTTCTTATGGATCAAAATGAGGCTTCATTTTCTTCACCTGGCACAATCGAAACACAAGTGACATATTAAGTCGTGAACAAATCCCAATTCTCCCTTCCTGTTTTCTCGCAAACTATTCTATCAAACTAGCAGAATATGGGGGTGGGAGGTTAAAGTGAATAAGACCTACTAATCAGTGGGCAAATTGGTGCATTTGTGCCTTGAAATTGCCACAGGTATTGTTCCATCGTGACACAAATCTGCCTCAGGAAACCATTACCGAGATATCCAGCTCTGGGAACATGCTGGATACATTTGACCGGACTCAGACCTCAATCCTTTGCTCTGTTTTCTGATGATTACAGGTAGACTGGCACGATCGCCGAAAACAATTAGCTGCAAATCTTCCATCCAGCCACTGCTCACATTTATCATACAAATAAGCACGGAGGCGATGTGTGAGCGCTAGTATAGATGCTGTTTAGGGCCATCACACTGTGGGAGGCTTCCTGACCAGATGACTCCTACTGCAGCCAACCAGGAGGTTACAAATAGGGCATGTTCACTCTGCTGACTTCTTCTTACAAGACACCAGAAATAGCTGTTGTTGTTCTTAGCTCTAAGAGTTGTGCACTTGCATTATTGAGAATATTATAAGTCTCAATAATTGTTCATATCAGAAAATACAGAAAAGTACATGTCCTATTTTTGTTTTGTTAGATGAGATGCTTAAACGGGTTTTCAAGAAATAGAACACTAAAGTAGTGCTACATTATAATATTACCTGTAACTTACACTTCTATATAGTATGTTGAACCTGTTAAATGTATTTACAGCTGTTTTATCCATAGTAAAACTTCATTTACTCCATTTTTCGTTTAACTAAAACCATGTAATTACATCACATCCAATTTTATGCATGAGGATTTGATTCTGTTCTATAGCTTTTCTTTTGTTCTGTGAAGTAGGTTTAATATTTTTCATGCTTCTTTAAAGCATCAAACATAAGAATAATTATTACTGTTTT